GAATAAAATACCGAAGCGGGGGCAAGCTATTAAAAGTTGGCAAGAAATTCCCTTGAATTTTAACAGAACTTGCAAATTGTGCAAGTTATTTCGAGACCACGTCTTCCACTTACCTACACTGTCGCAGAGGCTTATGGTTCGGTATCACTTGGCAGATCCAACCCCTTGAGCAGATGCTGTTTTAATATTTCAAAGCCTTAACCAAAGCAAAGTGCTTATTGCAATCAAATGGAAGCTTGTAGTAGCAACCCTCATACAGTTGGAACAAAACTGGGGGACTCTTGAATGCTCACCTCTGGAAGTGCAAAGTGATCTATCCAGTTTAATGCAACGCTTGGAGAGATTTCACAGCTTTAATTCGCTTGCACACTGTTTTCTTACAGGGGTAAACAGGCTACTCTTTGCTTGAGGCTTAACAGAGGCAAATAATCCTTTGAGAATTGTATTAGCATAAAAGATGAAACGGGGGTGTGGGAAGCTTAGCAACCTCAGCCTCATTCTATTTTAACACCGATTCCCCCACTGGAACAATATTTTACTGATGATTATTCGTGGTCTAAGAGATTACGTTCACTAATAAAGTTCTCCAGTTCAAAATGAAAAACAATAAAACACAATGCAAGCAGGGTCACTTAGCACCGTCTTCTACAGCATCGCAATCCACCATGTATGGGGTCAAAAGGCAGAGTGCAGTTGTGGAATCACAAGCACATCTCTTGGAACAGAACCAGCAGAGCATCCCTAAAGAGCAGCAATCATCAATGCACACTGCCATTAATAAATTGCTCACTGATGACAATGAAAATATGCACTTACTGGCAGTGTTTACACACTACCCTCTTTGCACTCCACGCCTGAGTGCTTCTCCCCTCCCCAAACCATGGTTTATGTACTAGAGTCTTCAAGGCACGCACAAGTAAAACCAGCTCAATGTTGTAAAACAATAAGTTTACGCTGAAGTTCCTTTGGTCGCATAAATAATGAAGAGAATATGAAGTTCGCAAAATATTGAACTGGCTCTATTTACTACCACCAAATAAACTATAACATTTTTTAAAAATCAAAAGCATGTGGTAGAAAGAAATAAGAATCTATTCTAATGGTCTGGGGCTCCAGCACAGATTTAAATCAATTGCTGCATGTGCAATTAAGCAAGGATGTGACAGTATTAAAGCAGACACAGAAGTGGATGGTGCGCATCGAAGCATGTATTTGCATGTTACACACATGATAATTTACACTCTTATCGTATTTCACACTGACTGCAGGAAAAAGCACCTGTGAAATCAAGCTACATCCTTGCCTCTTCCCAAAAAGAATTAAAAAAAATAAATACATCTGCCATGTGCATTTTTTTTCTTTTCTTAACCCAGAGGAAGTAACACAAAGCCAAAAATTCATGAACCAAACTACAGCTCTTGGTATATGCCTCTGTTCCATAAATATACAACTCTCAGTGTTCAAAGTGCTGCGTTTTATATTTTATATTACATTGCAAGAGGGTGACAACTTAAAAGATTTGTTTGATGGCTGACAGATATATATATATATTTAAAAAATTACCGTTAATTAATTCTTAAATACTTTGCACCCTATTTGACAAAAAGAACCGGTTCAAGCATGGCAGACGTATAAGAAATATTTCTGCTTGGGAGGAAGGGGACACCTACTGATTGGTGCAGAGTAGATTTATGTTCCATAACATTCATTATGCCTCAACAACTATGGCCTACGTGCATGGCATGGTTATTGCAAAACCCCTTTATGAGATCATTCATACACTGAAATCACTTGATACTTTAAGACTGACTTCAGAAGCACTGAGGTTTCAAGAAAACCTTGAAAGGGTAGCAGTGCAAATGCTCTTTCAATGACAATACATTTCTCACTTCTTCCTCTGCTTTCCTAACAACACTACATCGCATCAATTAGAAGCAAAGCCTCCAAGAAATGAATTCACAATATTTCAACTAAAGTCCCGTATTACAGGAGGACAAGGTGGATTTGCCCCCCGCCCCATTAAATGCTGAAAAAGTAGGACTGGTTTATTTGCATAAACAGCATAATATTCTGGAAGGCACCAGAATGACAGTCACTAGTACTATTCTTGCTAATCAAATGGTGTACTTTCATTTTCTACTTTACTGACATCAAATGGAAGAAGCGTGGATTAAATATTTAAGCAAAAGCATGCTACATCTGTAATAGCAAGTGCCTGTGAATAGAGATATACAATTCCCACTTTTAGAAATTACATTATATTCAGTGAAATCCTAAGGGTTTTTACACAGAGGTAAGTCCCTCTAAGTTCTCTAGTAAAAAGTTTAACACTGCAGCTGGCCCGGTAAAAGGAAGGCTGATTCAGAAGAGTTATATGTGCCCTTAAAGGATTTGGACGATTTGGTGTGCTTTTTGTCTCCAATAATCCCAAGCAAGAACCAGAGAACGATTACCCTTGCCAGCACTTCCTTAATACGATAGAAACATCTTTGTGCAAACTCCAGCTTTCCTATCTTCCTCCTAACACTGCAAGTCACCTCATGTAGCCCGGGGTCAACACGGCCCACACTAAATAGCACACACATTAATTCGAACTTCCAATTACGAAAATGTTTTGAATGATCTCCCCAGGGCTATTTGAACGTATGAAGTTGTTCTGTACTTGTTTTGATGAGGCACTGGGAGGAGAAGGGAGGATACTCAAGACTTTCAAGAACTACTTTAAAGTGAGAAAAAATAATGACATGAATTAATTCATAAGAATTCATTCTTGTTGCCTGGAGTCCACAGGATGGAAACTTTGCTACTAATTCTACCTGGAAAGCAGCTTGAACAGAACAAGTTTCTAAACAAGCACCCGGAAGAGCCAGAACAGGCATAGAATGGTTTGGCACTTGATTTGATTGAGATATTGTATTGTCCTTTAGCACCAACTGAATTGAAAGCCAGAGACTATGCTGATTCCCTGGAACGCAACAATCAAGCCCTCCTTCAAAAAACCTGCATTTAAATTCCAACCAGCCGACCTTTATTCTTATCAAAGATGTCCTCACAAAAAGCAGTGGAACTATTTGGGCGAGGTGTGGAAAACCCTTGAACCCCCCCCCCGTTCAAAACTGGATTGACGAAAGAGACTGACTTTTGAGTAGACATGTATAGAATTAGTTTTAAAAATGTTAACTTTAAAATTAGTTGTTTCAAGTATATATACTATGAACTGTTATACTTTAAAAAATTATATCATAGAAAAAATTAAATAAATGAAGCTTAAATTTCATTTAGCATCTGGATTACAAATTCTTATTAAACAAACCAGAGCTCATTATAAAATCAATATCAACTTAACCAGTGTGCCCCAAGAGAAATGGCAAAAAGGTCACTCCCAGAAATTCAAACAATTTTCCTGCTGGAAGGGCATGATTTTAATTACAGATACCATTAATTAGAACTGTCACAGGGAAGATTGTCCTCTTACTTATCACAAATAAGTATGATTTCCCTCAGATTATTAAATTTATATGCATTAAAAGAAAAAGTTCATGTGTTCCTTTGTAAATGATAACACTTTACATTAAAAATGCCTAGATAAAAATTTAACAAAACTGGTTTAACCGTTCGTTGTTACGTAAACACATTTTTGGGGGTTTCAGCAAATGTACCTTTCTCTTCACTGAAACACCTCCCTCCCCCCTACACCTCCCTTTGATAAGTCTCTCTCTCTCTTTATTACTACTTTACTTTAGAAGGTTTTCTCCTCCTGCTTAGATCTCAAGTTGAAAGCTCTTCCTCTGAAATGCTAATAAGTTGGGCAGATGTTTGAATTCAGCACTCTTACTGAACATTTCATTGGGTATGCAATGCTGCCCTCCCCCATGGAGGAAAGCACACAGTACAAAGATGAGGAGAGAGGGAGAGAGAAATTGGAGGGAGAAAAGGGGACACAGCTTCAGTCTACCAGGATACAGATGCAAGTGCCCTGGCTCCTCAGAGAACACAATGGTAAAAAAATAGAAAAAGGGGAAGGCTTCAACTCAAAAAGTGTATTGAACATTTTATTATTTAAACGCCTAGCTCATTGTTCCGAACTTTTAGCATTTCTGAGCATTCTTCTACAACTCGGGAGAATTTTACAGGAATACTAAAATTTGTGGACAGCCAGATTAACTGTTACGATTTGTCCAATTATGCAATGTTCAGTACCATATATAAAATGCCAATGCAAGCGACAAGAAAAATAAGGATTGCCTATCAGAAATAAGCTCCCAGTCCTTGATCAGTGCTTCCGAAACAGCACCTTTCCCCTCCTATTTACTACAGAAGCCTCACCTATAATGTTTCCATATTCCTTTGCTTCTATCTGCTGTCACTGTTCTCAGATTTTTCTTTTATTTTAAAAAAAACAAACAAACCAAAACACCAACAGGCCTGCTTCTACCTTCTCTAGCGCTTACAAATTTATCAGCATTATATTCCAATCTATCTGAATAATGGGAGAAACTGACAACTGCGCAGGTCAAAGGTTCTTTTCATATCACACCTCCAAGAAGTCAATGATTCAAAGAGAGGAACACCTTCAGATAACTGGGTGATCCATGCCTCATAAATTGCAAAGATTGTTTTTAATATCTAAAACGCAGTGACAGGTTCTAGATATTGATGTGTGTGGCGTGTGGGTTTTTTTTTCTTTTCCAGGGGCATTGAAATTGGCAACTACTTCTTTTAACGTTTCTAATTAGAGGCACATTTACAGCAAGCTACAAGAATAGCAAAGATTAATAACAAGCAATAAAAAAGCTGCTACAGTCTACGGGGGAATATTAATGGAGGGACGCCCAAGTAAGGCATTGTTTAAAGAAAAGGGGGGGGGAGGAAGAGAAGAACCCTACCTCGGCTATAAATAAATAAAAACAGCACTCCCTTGTGTGTGGGGATAATAAATAACGGTTTTAAGTATCAGGAAAAAATAAAGAGCTGGTGGAGTGGAGAGGCCGGTCTCCTACCTGATAAGCAGCAGTCGCACTGGAGCTGTTGTCCGAGCCCAGGCTTGTCAGCTTCTCCTTCAGTCTGTGATGAGAGCTGTGGCGGAGGCAATAGATGACCCCAGAAGCCACAAGGATCCCAAAAATGCAAGCGATGGAGAGGAGGGTTAGTATGATGAATTTGGTGGTGTCTCTCTCTTCCTGGGCATGGTGGGGCAAACGCTGGAGCTTGCTTTTCTGTACAAAAAATAAAAATAGGACAGGTGGGGGGGTTATTTATTTTTTAAAGCAAGGGCAGAAACAAGAGAGCAACCACTACTTGATCCCGCCGCCCTCCCCCTCCAATGCCAACAGGTGAAATCACAACACAAAATGAAGAGAAATTGCCACAGTACGAAATTGCAATCAGGCTTCCCTAGCAGAATATTTCAGGGGTTGCAAATACAATCCTATTCATTGAAAATAAGCCCCAATGGATAAAGAGGGTCTTATTTTCAGTAGACATGTATAGGATCACACTGTTTATTTCACACACCAGTTCTTTGGGATGTGTCAGGACAGGAATTAAAATTTGGAATCCATTCCTAGGCACGTTTAGTCAAAAGTATCTTCCATTAAAGTCAACGGCATTTGCCTTACCCTCGGTGCAGTACAGATTGCAGAGGCAACTCAGTCTTACATGTTTTTACTTCAAAGTTCACACTGCAGAATTCAACGAGTCTCTCTCATCCCGTCCCCAAATCCCATACATAAGATTGTGACCTTAAATGAACTGGAGCAATAGTCAAAAATCCACCCAGCTATCTGAAAAGTGGTATCACTGTTTTCCTCCACCACCTAAATGAAATGTAAATTAAAAAGATAATTCCCTAACACATACCTGGCAACATCGTTCATAAAATATCTTTAAAAAGCAGGTAAGGCTGTCTTTGTGAGCCTATTGAATTTGTCATAGGGGAAAAAAATATTTCCAGCAATAAATCTGGTAAGATACTATCACAGCCAGTTTCCCTCACGATACTCTTTGCATAAAGTGGGATGTAGATTTCTTCTGCTCGACACCTGAAAAATTGACTTCTCAAAAAACACTTCTCCATTAACGTTTTATTTTTACTTATGAGGGAAGAGTTATCAGATGGGGAGGGCTCATCTCTCCCTCTTTTCTTCCTGGGACAGAAACAAAACAAAACCAAAGTTCAACGTTTCCAAGCTCCTCCACGATATTATTTTTTTTAAAATGTGTGTAATTTTGTGTGTCTGTGTGTGTGCGCACAGCGACAGAAAAGAAATCCTGGTGATGCCTTTCGCTTGTCTCCATGCGCTCAAAAGTTGTCCAATAATTTCCCCTCATTAGCTTCATTATAAGCTATATTAGCAACAATTAAAATCGCAACATGGCTATGAAAAGCCCAGGCACGCAAGATTGCAGGCTCGCTCATTTGGCCAGCGCTTGACAATTACTAGGGAAATGAATTGAAAAGCACGCCCCTGCCTCAGCTCTGGTTGCTACAAGATGAGAACAATTAGCCAAGTCCTCTCCACCACCTCATTTCGCGTGGTAACAAAATGGATTTCCCCCCCTGAATGCCCGGCCCGGCCTATTCATTATCTCGCCTCTCTTTAGTAATTTTCTGCTCCGCATTCAGCTGGCCGCCGCTTAATTTCCTCCCGGCTAGCACGTACACAAGCGGCTCTTGTGTCAGGCCCCACTCCGGTTCCTTTCTCTCTCTTTCTCTCCTTTTTAAAAAAATATATCTTGGAATCAGAAAAGGCCACCGAAGCAATTAGCGCCGCGTCTTGACTGGGAACATAGCTTGCCATTAATTAGCCTCCTTGCTTTAGCAGCGCGCCAGTTTAGCGCGGGGCTCGGGCTTAATGGAACGGAAAGGCAGGTCCGGGCAAAGCGTTCCTCCCACCCTTCGCCGCCTTGTTGCGCAGGAGCGAAAAAGAGGAGCGAGGCTCGCCGGCTGGAGAAAAAGGGACCGACGGAAAGGAGGCAGGCAGGCAGGCAGGGCGCGCAGTCGCCCGCTCTCGCGGCTTCGTCGGGGAGGGGCTCCTTCGCCAGCCGCTCGCGCCACTTTGGCTCTCAAGACGCTGCTGCTCCTGCTTCTGCTTCTCCTCCCGCTGCCTCTCCAAAGCGCTCGAGGGATCGAAGAAGGACGCGCTCCGGCGCTCTCCCGCCTCCTCAGCCAGCGGGAGGAGTCTTCCTCGCTTCCCCCCTCCCTCCCCCCAATCTCCACCTGCCTCGCCTCTCCTCCTTAACCCAGCGCAGAGGAAGAGAAGGCGGCGTTGAGACCTCCGGCGCGCAAAAACGCGCTCGAGTAGAGGGGCGACGCTTCGTCTCTCGCCTCCCTTTCAAGCGGGCGCGCCTGCCCCGCCCGCGTGTCCTCAAGACCACGTCCCCCACCCCGCTTCCCTCGAGATTACCGGGAGGAGAGGGGACCGGGAGGCTTTGAGGGGCGCCTCCCTGCCACTCAGCCCATTTTTCAGTTTAGACGGGGTGGGTTGGTGCTAGGCTGCAGTCCTGTGCTCGCCTACTGGGAGTGGTAAGGCCCGAACGGGACACAGTGGGGCACTTCCGACGGGTCAGGCTGCACATCTCATTGGTTTTTAAGAAGGCACAGCCTGGAAGTGACATTACTGGGAAGGAAGCCCTACGGAGATAAAAGGGCTTGTCCTGCAAGTAAGGATGATTCAGGCCGGATCCCAAGGCTACGGTCCTATATGGCAACCTACGGAACTTTTTGGAATAGAAGGGAAAGCATGCGCAGCAACGGGCCGCGTACCCCGTCGGAGTTCAACACGGAAATAAGTGGGCACTGGAATATCAGCTCAGTTATTAGACCTGCAACCCTACACATCCGGATCCCCCAAACGGCATTCGGACACGGAACTTAACTCCCAGTGTACGTGCTTTGTTCTGAGGAGTTTGGAGTAGGTGGTCTTAGCGTAGGAACTCTGTTAAAGATTATTTGCGAGATTGAACACACCAGATATTTAAAGAACACTTTCTCAGGAATCCTGGGAACTGTAGTTTAAGAATGCATCTCTGGGAGGTGTAAACTTCAGTTCCCAGCATTCTTGGCAGGCTACTTTAAATGTATGGTGTGTGCTCCGCCTAACCAATACGATCCTTACAGTACCTTCTCGGAAGCAAACTATGGATATTGTAGGACTTAATCCCAGGGATCCGGGTTGCAGTCTAAACGAACGGGAAAAGTGGGGCCAGTTCGCGGCACCCTCGGCTAAAACGTCTGGCGCGCCCCAAACCATGTAGCAGCGGGAACCGACGACAGTGAGGTCCATAAACCAGCAGAGAACCAACCCAACACCCAATTTGCGGACCTGGCTGTAAAAACACACACTGCAGACAAGCTTTGACTAGGGGTCCAGTGGCTCCCATTGCTAAAAACAGTGGGTGGGTCCCGCTTTGCATCCCCGCTAGGAAACAGATTCAGGGAAAACGCCCCGAAGGGACCGTACATGGGTTTTGACCGCAGCCCCACTCGCTCTTCCTTGGCGGGCGGGCAAATCCGTTGCCCCCTAACACGGCAGCTTCTCCCACAGGTCTCTTCTCGCGTCCTCCGCCCTCCCTTCCTCTTTAGGATCTCCCTACCGCCCCGTTGCCTCTGCTTTCCCTTTCTTAGGACCGCCATATGGTCCCTCGCCCCCACCCCGCCCGGGTTTCTTAGGCCCCTCCGCTCTGCGGCGCCCTCCTCAGCCCCGCCTTTCCGTTCCTGGAAAGCGCCTTTGGCCGCGGCCCTTCCTGCTGGGGAGGGCAGGGGGTCGCCCGATAAAGCTCTCCTCTGGCGGCGAAAGGGCAGGCCCTCCCCTTCGGAGGCCAGTTCAGGCTGCTGGCTGGAGCTCAAGGCCTGGCCTTGGCTTCGCCATTAGCATTTAATTGAAAGCGCCCCCCGGCCCTCTGGCGAGGGAGAGGTCCCTATCTGCATCTAAATAGGGGCGTTTGAAAAATGATCTTGCCCTGGACTGGAGACCCGGCCTCGCTCGCCGCATCTTCTCTTCCCTCCCCACCAGAACTCCATCCCCCCTCCCCGGGCAGGGCCTGGCCTGAAGGGGCCTTAATTGGACGCGCTACAAAGTCCCCGAGACAGAAGGAGCGGCTGCCCCGATGTTTAGGCTTGCTGTGGGGACAGCTGCCGCGAAGGCAGGGTCCCCCCACCCCCGTCTCACTCTTCCTCCAGCAGCTGCGCACCCAGCAAGGCGGAGGCAGGGGGCGCCTCCGGCCTCTCCACCGGGAGACCAGGCCATTGAATGCATGGCCCCGATCCTGGGAAATAAGCCTCCCCCCCCAGCCCATGTCGCACACGAGAAATCCCACTAGACGCCTCACTTCTGCTTAAACATTACTTCGAAGGTGCTGCGCATAATAATCCAGGGGTAAATAGAGGAACAGGTCCGATCCTAAGCGGTCAAAATACCAAAGCCTAAATAATAGCAGGCCCAGTGCACAAGTCCCATTAAGTTAAATGACGTTTACTCACAAGTATTGCAAGTATTACTCACGCGGTTGCAACCTAAATATGCTTAGGATCAGGGTTGCTAATTGGTTGTCGCAGCATTCAAGAGATGCGCGCCCACGCACCTTGCGTACATATATAACAGTGTCATATGGAAAGAGCGACTCTATTTATGGTTTGTATTTAGAAACGCCGTGCATAAAAAAGCTTTTTCTCTGTAAATTATTGCCAGGCTTATTCTGTTAACAGTGCGGATATTAAATAACGTCAGAAAGAAAGAGAAACCCACACTTGTCCACTGTAGTCACCCCCCTCAAAAAAAATCTCCCCGAGCCCCTCTTTCATGAACATGCTGGTGAGTCGCTCTCTGGGCCTAGAATCCCTATCTGTAAAATGGGACTAACAGACTGCAATTCTGCACTGGGAGTAAGTCATCGAACTAAGCAGACGCGTATAGGATAGCGATGATACTGTCCTCTTTCAGGAGTCTTCTGAAAGAAAGAAAAAATGAAGCAACAGAATCCGCTTTGCAAAGTGGCGAGTTCTTCTACCACTGATATAAACGATAATGGTAAGCAAGCCTCTTAAATCAAGAGCTGTCAGGCCCCTTTCGCGGAGCTGACTGGCCCGCGGCCACACGATCCTTAATACAAAATAAACGGGGTTCTCATTCGCATTTTTAGCTCGGGAAAACACCCCTGGCAAACCATGCAAAGAGAATATCATCACAAGCTCTATAATAAAGCGCTGTCAGATGTA